CAGCTTTAATTATATAAATTGATTCCATGGTAAAGTCCTTACACCTTTATAATCATAATGATATTTTTTAGTGGTGCTTTTGTTTGTTTGAATTTATGCACAAAGCTACACAATGGGCTATTTGTGCTCTGCCAACCACGGGTATCGAAACCCAGTTTCTAGCGTTGTAAGTCCGCAGACATGCATGCCACTATGCCACTGGGGGGCTTCAGTGGTGCTCTGTTTAAGCTGTAGTATATGTAAAACTTTATTTGAAATAAATGACAAGCTAGATATTTGAGAAAAATACAAATAAATATCCAGATTAGTAGTTGGGTACATAATTATACAGCAGTGTTTGTTGAAGGGCGCTGAAGTTTACTGGATAAGTTGGAACAATAATTTTGGAAAATTTCCAACTCTGGTACGGTAGTAGGTTAAGAGGCCATTTTTATCGAAACCCGGGTGCTCTTCGTAAAGTTTGTCGCTGTGAAGCTTAGAAATGCCACATATTGATAACGATATAAAGCTAGATTTTAAAGATGTTCTTTTACGTCCTAAGAGAAGTACTCTTAAAAGCCGATGTGAAGTAAGTACTTTTATATATTGTGACGAAAATCGAACCTTCAGGTGCATTACAAATATAATACATTTTCAAAGCTATATTATTATTAGCTAACCGCTACTTCACACGTTTATAAATAAATTATATATATATATATAACATAACGCTACAGAATGCAGTGCAGAGTTCTGATCTTAGTAATACTAATAACAGTTAGTACCCTCTAATTTATAAGCTTATTATTGTTTTACAGAATGTAGTGCTATAGAGACTATAAAATTTACACTAGACAATAAAACAAATAAATTTGAAATAATAAATGAATTAAACAAATAATTTAGGTAAGATAACAGTAATAAGATATAGAATAATAGGTATAAAAGTAATCTCTTTTCATTAATAATTGCTGAATCATGAATGGAGAAATTTACCCTTTATACTTTGTAACTATGTGATTACACTAACATTTACAAGTTGAATACAAAACATAAACGAAAAACTTGCAATTCATATTGCATAGAAATCTTCAAAATAAAATTTATTTTTATTATGATATGTATTTCTAGCAAGGAAAAGTAACCTTTAGAGTTTTAGATGTGTATACACCTTTTGCAAATTTATTTTTCTGTTAGAAGGGTAATATTGGGTAAGAGTTCCATATGGCACACCCACTCAATTTAAAAAAAAATTACATCAAAGTAAT